TGTCCAACGTACTATTCTTCCTTTATTGTTCTTCCCTAAGCAATATTTCATAACTAGTCGTCCTGACTAAGAGTTCAGACAAATCTATAAACTCAATGCCTTCAAATTTCTTTCTTAATTCAAAATATAAACCATTGTGGGTCAATTTTACGAGTTTTACTTCAGGCATATAAATATGATATTTATTTCTTCCTTTTTTAAATCTTTCGATGTACTGTCTGTACACTCATTAGGTTTCTACCTTAATCTGAAAATTTTTGTCATCGACATTTCTAGTTCATTTCAAAAGAATTGAGCATTTAATTACACCTCCGTCTCTTGCTATGTCCGGATTGAATTGTCTGACAAGTTGATGAACCATGAAAATATAATTTTGGTCAAGGACTGTGGGAATAACTTCATTTTTAAATTTTCATTATTTTCAACTTTCCCACATTGGAAAGTAAATCTACTAATATGTTCTATGGTAAATTGATTATCTTCTCTGAAGAACAAGTTGAATTCGGGGATTTTATACCCTCTAGGAAACTCCTTAAAGTCCACCCCTGTCCCCGGGGGGATATGACTTTCTAAAATCCAATCTTTCTCTCCTTCAAAGGCCAAAACCATATAGATCTTGAATCATTTCCAGTAATAGGTTTCTATTAACCATCATGTTGTTATGGGTTTCTATGTTTTCAAATGGGTCCAAAGGTTTTCCCCTAAGTTTGTGGTTCATTTCCTCTATTGGATCCATAAGAAGCATGTGATGTCTCTCAAGACGTCTCTATGGATGATCTTGAGTCATTCTTGACCCATTCATACCCCTAAGATTCCTAGCATAATAAAAATTAGGAAATATTTTAATAGGTTTCCAGTCAAACATCATATTGAAATGATTCTAGTGTTGAAAACTATGACCCATATTGGGTGCCATCATTGGCGGCCCCTGATTTTCTNAGGAGGCATGTGACGTCTCTATGGATGATCTTGAGTCATTCTTGACCCATTCATACCCCTAAGATTCNAAGAAGCATGTGATGTCTCTCAAGACGTCTCTATGGATGATCTTGAGTCATTCTTGACCCATTCATACCCCTAAGATTCCTAGCATAATAAAAATTAGGAAATATTTTAATAGGTTTCCAGTCAAACATCATATTGAAATGATTCTAGTGTTGAAAACTATGACCCATATTGGGTGCCATCATTGGCGGCCCCTGATTTTCTACAAGAATACCAATGGGTTGGTATTTCCTTCCTTTACGGTTGAATTTTGAATAATATTAGAGGATCTTTGATTCACATGTCCTAACATATTTGCCTGGTGGCCACCCATCAATTCATGCATGACATTCATTAAATCTTACCAAATGCTTAAATAAGAATCATGTAGTATCTGTCTCAAATTCTGCATGAAGTCTTGCATCAATGCACGATTCTATAGCCACAAGTCTGGCCATTTCCTTGCATTGCAGGTTCTACTGGATTGGAACTTAACCTCCCTTTAACATGGTTAGTCTTGCCAAGCATAGTCTCTATGTTTTCATTGTGTTCTACTCCAATAAACCCTTTGTCTTGTTTTCTTGTTCACTCCATTTTTTATCCAAGTAGTTAGTAACATTGTTCCACCGAGTGAGCCAAAATTGTTGGTCTGCACAAAGAATTTCTCCGGTAATTGATAAACTCAATTCTTTCACAGACTGATCTCAAACGATTGTTAGATGTTGGGTTCAACTGTCTTATTTCAAGACTTCTTTGGACGATCNCAGTAATTGATAAACTCAATTCTTTCAACGATTGTTAGATGTTGGGTTCAACTGTCTTATTTCAAGACTTCTTTGGACGATCATAATTAACAAATTCAAAGTAAATAAAATAATAATCAAGAGATTAACGAAAGGGAAAACATTTTTATTAAATTTGAAAGGTTTATGGGTCATAAAAGACTGATTAAATAATCTCTAAAACTAATTCTACTCTAAAATTATTCTTAGAAATGTCCAAGTCATAAGTCTTTGATAAGATTGATCGTATTTTCTCCTTTGCAATCCATGCCTCTTTTGTAAGGGTCTCTCCACCGATGATTACATTGACTTCTTCAGACAATTTCTCTGATTTTTCTCGTTTTAATTGTTACTTTTCAAAATTTTAGAGCTCATTAAGTATTGATAACGACTGTCTTTTTAAATTTCATAATAATTGTTCATTCATTCCATCACAAGAGTTATAATTGTCCTTGAATTTGAATAAGCCACATCAACTAACTCTAAATCTTCTTTTGATTAAATGAATGTCACATGATGATCTTTTTTGAGTGACTCGTTCTTTGGTTAAAATTGTAAAAAAATTAGATCATATTTTTACGGGTTAATTATAAATTATATCTCAAAAGATCGTTTGAATCTTAATTTTCAATTTTAAATATAGAAATTTGTATCAATGCGCACCTAAAACTAACAGCCGCCAATTTGCAATCTAAAACTAAATGGATAAATTACACCTAAATTTTCTCATACTTGTCACCTAATTATTTGGACCTTCTCACATTTAGAATATTACTCCTACACCGTTTGATATTTGTACACATGTAACACACAACTCCTTCTCGTTAATATCTATTAATATAATCGTTAAAAATATGATTTCATCATAATAAAAAAGTATAATNATAACCCCTTCTCGTTGATATCTATTAATATAATCGTTAAAAATATGATTTCATCATAATAAAAAAGTATAATTTCATACTACCATTTTATTTTGTGGACCCGTTGTAATCTAAAATGAAAAATTAAGTATATCATTTGAATGTCCAATATAATGTAGGTATTTATATAATGTTTTTTAAATCTAATATAATACATCACTTAAACATAATTATTTGAAAACTTAGTTAGGAGAACATTTTTAATCATATTTGGATTTTCAATGGATATATGTGTAATATTTTAAATGTGAGGAGTTTAAGTGATTAACTGACANCCAATATAATGTAGGTATTTATATAATGTTTTTTAAATCTAATATAATACATCACTTAAACATAATTATTTAAAAGCTTAGTTAGGAGAACATTTTTAATCATATTTGGATTCTCAATGGATATATGTGTAATATTTTAAATGTGAGGAGTTTAAGTGATTAACTGACAAACATGAGAGAGTTTAGGTGTAATTTATCCATTATGACAAATTCATCGTGCTTGAGGTATACATTAATACAAATTTTTATGTTTGAGAATACAAATTAAAATTTTTTATAATTTCAAACAATCTTTCACAATACAATTTGAGATTAAGCTTATTTTTGTATGTCAATGCTATTCAAATTTAATTTATTAATATAATTTGTTCAACTAATTTTCCGACCCCAAGCCTATCGGCAACCTACTCACAGNAAGTATACATTAATACAAATTTTTATGTTTGAGAATACAAATTAAAATTTTTTATAATTTCAAACAATCTTTCAAAATACAATTTGAGATTAAGCTTATTTTTGTATGTCAATGGTATTCAAATTTAATTTATTAATATAATTTGTTCAACTAATTTTCCGACCCCAAGCCTATCGGCAACCTACTCACAGTCTATAAGCAAACATCAGCTTCAAAATTTTGCGGCGACAAAACCATTTCGAATCGACTAAGTTCTCTCATCTATTTTGAACACAAAAGCACTGATTCAAGATCAAATCATTCCATGGCTTCGATCATTTCCAGCGGTTTTTCCTCATCTTTACCCCTACCAGTTTTGATCGTACCTATACCAAAAGGAATTGGTGGATCTGTTACTTTCGGTAGGTGTATTTTGCAATGATTTTGATTGATTTGCCTTTAAATCAAATTTATGCTCCGCATCATTGTTTCTCGCCCATATGCTTTGCCAAATCGACGCTGCTATTGTGTGCTGCAAGCAAATTCTAAATCGAAACTGATTTTTATTTTTTGTTTCTGTTTCTGTTTCGATTTTCAATTTTGATTTCGAGAAATTGGTTTGCAATTACATACCGTAAGGATATTGGGTATAGAAAAACTCTGCATCTCACAATCCTTAGTTTAACAATATCACAATCGTTGTTGGTGGCGGAGGAAGATTTTTGATAAAACTTGCGCCATTTGGTTTTGGATTGGTTTTGACGTGCAAGAACTGCGGTGGTTGTGCGCATCGCGGTGGTGGTGGGCTGTGGTGATTCAATGGTGTGTTGTGGTGGTGCACAGTGGTGATTTAATTTTAGTAGGTAGTAGTTGGTGATTCGGTGGTGGTGGTGCAGAGTGGGTGCAGTGGTGTGGAGGAGACGTGATGGTGATGATTCAGTGATGGTAGTGAAGCGAAACTAAATAAATGGGAAAGAATAGATGAAGTTCATTTAGAGGGCTAGAGGGTATGATGGTCCTTTCGCCACTGTAATTGATAGTGTTAGCACTTACCTCTCTCTCTCTCTCTCTCTCACACACACACACACAGTTTGTGGGTTTAATTTTTGTAAATGACAAAACAGGAAATGTAAACGTGACAATATTCACCTTCAATTTGATGGTCATCTGTATTTCCAAAATCTTACTTGGATAGAAGGCAAAAGTCCCTATTTCTTAATCCATCATTCCTATGAGAGAGAGAGAGAGAGAGTATGTGAAGTTAGCTGTATATCCAATGGTTAAATGTGTTACCATGACGACCATAGTTTTTTGTTTTCAAATAGATATGATGACATTTGGCTAAGATAATCAAGTATTTGATAGGATAATCATGTGTCACACTTCGTCTTGGTGAGATTCGACCTAAACTATACAAAAGTCACTACTTTGAACAAATCAATTATATAAAAGCAATTATAATATTTTCTCTTTGCTTCATGGAGAACTTTGTGCAATATTCGAAGTTTTGTGACAATCTCTTGCCTACATTTTCACCAATAGATATGTATTTTGAGCATCTCTATGCTTATATGCATTGTCTTTTTTTTAACTAGCTTACCGTTTGGCTTCTCTAATTTTTTTTAACATGTGTTTTTGCAAGATGGGAGAACTTAAGAAATTGGTTGAAGAGGGAAAAATAAAATACATAGGTCTATCCGAGGCCTCACCCTCAGCAATTAGAAGAGCACACGCTGTTCACCCAATTACAGCTGTTCAGCTGGAGTGGTCTTTGTGGGTAAGAGATGTGGAGGAAGAAATAATTCCTACTTGCAGGTTGGGCATTTTTTCTAATTACATATATGATGAGGGAGTGATAAGAGCTTGATTTCATGTCCTCACAATCCAAAAGTTTAAGTAATTCAATGAAGAATCAATCGAGACCTTATAGTCTCATATGGCACCCTTAGTCTCTTACCCAACTGCTGTGGTGATGGACTGGGGCAATCCCACGTCGGAAATCTAAAAGTGTGTCTGTGGGTTATATGGATACTATGCTATATCTGTTTTTTAAGTAGCTTGTAGTTGTCCTCTGATCAAAAAAACTGCTGTGAGATATGACATTCTAATTTCATCCCTCCTATAATTTTCAGGGAACTCGGTATTGGGATTGTTGCTTACAGTCCTCTAGGACATGGGTTCTTCTCATCAGACCCAAAGCTGCTGAAAAACTTGCCGGATGATGACTTCCGGAAGGTTTGTCCATGTACCATGTGTCTCTTGATTTCAAAATGAGTGCGTCAAATATCAGAGTTTTAGTTTTTTTGTTTGCCCAAGACTTACTAACTGAACAACCTAAAGAAGCGCAGATGTGTTAAGGAATAATCAATATAGCAACTGAACATCCTCTAGTCAATGCTTTCTCATTGGTGTGTTTTTGGGTATTTTAATTTTCTAGAATACACCACTTGTGTTACACATGAACAAATTCAAATTTTGAAAATTTTCATGAAATATATATGAAAAAAAAACATAAAATAGATGTTTGATTAAGTTAAATAACATCTTATATTTTTATTATCAATACTACGATGTAAATTTATAATGGTTATTTTAGGTAGCATGAAAAAAAAATTCATAGTCTGTATTTTAATTCTAAATGATATTGTTGTCTTAATTATATTTTAAGTGTAACATACTGATTCCAAAAAATTTCCAACGTATAGATATTACAAGCTTCTGTACTCCTTATTATTGTTTATTATTTCATTATTTCAAAATTAAAATTATATATATATATATATGAATGAAAGTTTGTTTATGCCTTATTGAATTATTTAGTGATGGTAGTGGTGTTAAGTAATATTTTATAGGTATGAAGGAATATTTATGTCGTTTTGAGTTACCAAGTGATAATAATGTCATTACCTATTTTAATAAGGGTGTATTGGTTAATCAAGAAATGTTCAAGCTAAGTGACTCTTATTAATAGTGTAGACATAGGCATAGATATAGATATTGATCTATTTTATTTTAATGCATTCCAATATTATTTAAAAGCAATCTCAGTGTAATTGAAATGCAACCCCTTCCCAAGGAAACTACTTATCTATCCATAAATTTACTAACACATGTTTATAAACTTAGATATCTAACATAATATGAGGGCCTCAAGATCATATATGGCACTTGCTCCATTGGAGAAACAGAAGTTAGTGCTTTACTATGACTAGAAATCATCTTTCTTGTGCTATCAATGCATCCTGAAGCACGTTTACTTACGAAAGCTGATGTCCGCATGGGTCCTTTTGTATAGTTAGTCCAAAATCTTAACCATGAATTTTGNTACGAAAGCTGATGTCCACATGGGTCCTTTTGTATAGTTAGTCCAAAATCTTAACCATGAATTTTGTATTTCTTCTTTTTTAACAGAATCTGCCGAGGTTCCAACCTGACAACCTTGAATATAACACAAACATGTATGACCGGGTTCATGAAATGGCAGTAAAGAAGGGATGTACCCCATCTCAGCTAGCATTGGCTTGGGTTCATCACCAAGGGAACGATGTGTGTTCCCTTCCGGGTACGACTAAGATTGAAAACCTCAACCAGAACATTGCAGCTTTGTCTGTTAATCTTACACCTGCAGACATGGCTGAGCTCGAATCCATTGCTTCAGCTGATGCAATCAAGGGTGAAAGGTTTCCATCTGATCTTTTTACATGGAAGAATTCAGACACTCCACCATTGTCCTCGTGGAAAGCTTAACCAAGATGTGCTTTTAGTGTGCTAATACTGTGTCGTTTGGTTTTGAAGACTTGCCGTGTTCTTGTGCTTTAGTATTGTTCCAAATCTATGATGATATTTGGCCCTAATAAAGACTCTAAATAATATGATGTCTTGTCATTTGGGTTTCAAATTTAGTTCTAAAATTTGGTCAACATAGCATTACTCTGCATGCAATTATGATCTCATACAGGATTTTCTGAAATTCCAAGAGGCATGAACTGGCATTCCTAATAAATAGAGATATTTTCAATGAAATTTCTCTGTTTTATGAATTTTTTTACGTATTAAAATTTGGACAAATTAAAATTCGATTCGAACCAATTAAAATTTGTTTTTAATCAATTCGGATCAAATTTTAATTAACTCGCACTGAATTTTAATCGATCCGAATTTTGATATGTAAAATAATATAAATTTTAATCGACTCAAATTTTAATATGTAAAAAATAAATTTTAATTAATTTGACTTGAATTTTAATAAGTAAAAAATTATAAATTTTAATCGGTGCTAATGGTTCAGGTTAAGCTCAAATCGACTCAAATTTTAATACGTAAAAAAAATAAAATTTAATTAGGTCAAATTTTAACATGTAGAAAAACGAATTTTAATCAACTCACAATTTAATATGTAAAAAATGAATTTTAATTGACTTAAATTTTATGTAAGAAGATTGTTTCGGATTNCTGTGTTCTTGTGCTTTAGTATTGTTCCAAATCTATGATGATATTTGGCCCCAATAAAGACTCCAAATAATATGCTGTCATGTCATTTGGGTTTCAAATTTAGTTCTAAAATTTGGTCAACATAGCATTACTCTGCATGCAATTATGATCTCATACAGGATTTTCTGAAATTCCAAGAGGCATGAACTGGCATTCCTAATAAATAGAGATATTTTCAATGAAATTTCTCTGTTTTATGAATTTTTTTACGTATTAAAATTTGGACAAATTAAAATTCGATTCGNAAGGATCAACATTTCATTTTGCTGCATAAGGAAGTGAAAATGTTTCGAGGAAGAATGACAGTAAAAAATTTAGGCAAAATTTCAGCCACACTTTTTTTATTTTATTATATTATTAAGGATACCCTTCTATTTTTTAAGTTGACATTGACACTCCTGTCAAATTAAAAGTCTTAACCAAAATACAATTTTACTAAATTGTTACACTTCCTTTAAATAGAGATATTTTCAATGAAATTCCTCAATTTTATGAATTTTTTTACGTATTAAAATTTGGACAAATTAAAATTCGATTCGAATCAATTAAATTTTATTTTTAATCAGTTCGGATCAAATTTTAATTAATTCGCACTGAATTTTAATCGACCCGAATTTTGATACATAAAAAAATATAAATTTTAATAGACTCAAATTTTAATATGTAAAAAATAAATTTTAATTAATTTGACTCGAATTTTAATAAGTAAAAAATTATAAATGTTAATCGGTGCTAATGGTTCAGGTTAAGCTCAAATCGACTCAAATTTTAATACGTAAAAAAAATAAAATTTAATTAGGTCAAATTTTAACATGTAGAAAAACGAATTTTAATCAACTCACAATTTAATATGTAAAAAATGAATTTTAATTGACTCAAATTTTATGTAAGAAGATTGTTTCGGATTTATGTAGGGGCAATTTTGATATTTTAGATGAATTTTTTTTGTTAAAAATAGTGATTTAGTGGCAAGGGGTGTCCGTGATATCTAAATATAAACTAGAAGATGTATCAGTGATATTTTAGATAATAGAGGCGATGTCCTTAAAAAAAGAGTGTTACTGAAATTTTTCCAAAAAATTATTTTTGCGCATAGTTTCAGTTGGCTCTGCGAAAATTTTTAAGATTTCATTTCCAAATATTACAAAACATCCAAAAATATGGGGATTTTGATATTCAATCGCTGGTTCAAAATATTTTTCACTGAAGCTAAAGTTTTTTGTTGTGATCTCGTTGAATCATAAGTGTTGTTGCCTGTGTTCCAGGACAAGTTCTCTCACAGTTTGAGAGACAACATCACCCAGTTTGGGTTGACAATGTTCAACAAGTAGGAAGCTGCAGTTTCTAAATTATTACTTTGAGTAGAATTTCTACTTTCTAGGCTTGATATTAATGATCCCTTCCATTTCTCTTCCTTTTTAATTCCTTCAATACAGGTGACATGTGTAAGATTTTAAATTTCAATGGACAAGATTTTTTTCTTGAAACAAAATTCCTTAATAATGTTAGGGCAATGCCACAAAATTCAAATGAAACTCAAAAAGTTGGAATCCAAATACATATCATCCTTTAAATGAGTGAGTCTTATCAATTTTTTCAGTGGAACTCACTCATCCAATAGATGATATGCATTTGAATTTTAACTTTTGAGTTTCATTTGGGTTATGTAGCATTTTCTATAATGTTAACATTCTATCAACAACAAAATGAATGAGGCAATATCGTATCTATTTAAATTCAAATTCTTACACATGTTACTTATCTAGCACTGTACTAAAAGAAATTAAAGGAAATGAGTAATAGAGGAGATCTAAATCGATATTAATATGCCCACTCTTATGTGGTATATATAAAAAAAAAATCATAACAAGTATAGTTTAACTATCTTTTTTGTTAATAAGTGCGGACAGATACTTTTTAAGGTTTTAAGTACATGAATATACAATATATAAAGTACAATATACAATAGCAAAAAAATGTACAATATATAAGGTGAGTGGTCCGAAGTTGTTACTCTTAAAAATTTTTAAGGGTAAAATGTAAAAAATCTCTATGTACTACGTTTTGATCTTACTTCACCTCTCTCTATTTTTGTGGTTTCCACTTAACTAGGGATGACAGTAGACTGGGGCGAGGCGACAGGAATAGTCTCCACCTCGTACCCAATTTAAAAATATTCGTTCACTGTCGGTCCACCACCGTTAGCGGGGAAAATTTTAATCCTCGTCCTTGTCCCGCGAGTAAATTTTGATCCTCATCCCCGCCCGACGGGTAAATTTTGATTCTTGTCCCTGCCACCGTCTCCACCCATAACAATTAATTTCTATGATTTTAAGAAAAAAAATTTAATAAAAATCATAAAACCTTACAAATGGATTGGCAAGAAAGATGAAAATTAATTATATAACAAATAGATCAAACATAAAAACTCATAAAAATAATAGGTATAACAAATGTGTATTTTACTTAATTATTTTATTTGTTTTATATATATGTTACGGGTTTAGTAGCGCGGATTTCAATTAATCCTCGCCTCCATCCCTACATGAGTTTATACGGGTATTCTCGTATATGTCTACCGTCCAATTCGTATAGTCCATCCCTAGTCCAAACAAGGGCGGTTTGGATGAATACCCTTTTTAACCGGTCCATTATCATCCCTACACTTCACCCCCTCCAACTTGTGAACAAACTGCGAATGTTACCAGAGGTAACAATTCAAAACTATTCCCTAATTGCAATCAAATTTTTTTTGTGATGTCATCATTGTAGAATCGTTATCTTTAAAAAACAACACCTACAAATTGCAAATGACCTGGTTAGACTTATTTTTCCATGAGAACTCCATTGGTGTGGTTAGATTTAAGTTCATATTGTGTGTGTGCTAAAATTTGTGTTTGAAACTTAGTGATAATTGAATTTTTAAATGGGTTACATAACAAATGATCATTTCTTCCTCAATTGAGACTTGAATTGTGTTATGATGCTGTAATACAGTGTATTAGAGTGCTTAGAAGTCATGGATGAGGTGTGTGTATGTGTGTGTGGGTATTTGGTGAAAAAACCCGCTAGAGTTTAGAAACTTGAAAAACAAAATTTTAAAAAACTTATTAAAGCTTAAAAAAGGGAGTTGGGTCTAACTAATTTTGGTCAAAGAATTCAAAAATGACCTTAGAGTTGAGAAAACAAGTCGTTAGATGAGTCAAAAATGAATTTGTAGGTCTGGAGAGAGATGGAGAAGGAATATGAATAGTAAAATTGATAATTTAATTTTTTAATTTAGGAAAAAATGATTTATTTTATAACATGCACTTAATTAGCACGTATAATTACCATGCCGTTACAATAAAAGGTTTACGTTAGATTTACATTTTGTTTACAAGTTAGAAGAGGTTAAGTGAAACCAATAAAAGTAAAAAGGGTAAAGTGAGATCAAGGCTTAATATAGAAATTTTTTGACATTTTACCCAATTTTTAATGATAAGAATACCCCTTATGTTTATTAGCGTACATTTATGAGTCTCATTAATTTCTCTTTCGTCAATTATTATATTTTTTTTTTCTCTTCTCTCTTTCGTCCCTCTCTTTCCTCTAGGGATGACAATGGATCGGGTAAAAATAGGTATTCGTTCAAACCAGCTCTATTTGGACCGGAGATAGGTCATACGTATTGTACGGTAGACATATACAGGGATACCCCTATAAACCCATGTGGGGATAAAGGCGAAGATGGACTGACACTTACCCCAGCCTTGCCTTCGCCCAGCCCCTTCCCGTCCCGCTTTATCTGTTATTATTATTATTGTATATATATGTACATGTTGGTGTGAATACAAATATACATATTATTGAATGATTTTTTTTTAAAATTGTTTTATTTTTTGATTTTTTTTTATTGTTTTACGTTGTAAAAGTGTAAATCTTTGTATTTTATATGTTTTTATGTTAGATTATGTTATGTTACATTATGTTGTGTTGCATGATATTGTGTTGGATTTACAAGGGGGATAAATTTTTAATTATATTATTTTAGGTTATGTTGTAGACAGTGTTTTAATTATATTATGTTGTAAATAACAAATTTTTAATTATGTTATGATATTATATAATTATGTTAGACTATTTAAAATATTAGATTTATTTATAATTTTGGATTATGTTGGCTTTGACTTGGGCTTGGGTGAGTAAGGCGGACGTGGGTAAGGGCGGAGGTGAAGGCGGGGGACGGGGCAGGGGCAGAAATCACAAATTTACCCGCAGACAGGGATGAGGATGAAAACTATACTCGTTAATGGGGATGGACAGGGGATAAACAAAATTTTTTAAACAAGTACGGGGATGGAAACTACGCATCCCGCCCCCGCTTCAGTCCACTGTCATCTTGACTCTCCTCTCTCTTCTTTTGATCTTGTTTAAATTTCACTTTCTTCTTTTTATTTTGTCCCAACTATAGTAACATAGTCACATTGACACAACCATAATCTATATAATAAAGTACAAT